TCCAGCAATACCACTCTTGGGGATATACCCAAAAGACTGTTACTCCAGAGGCACCTGCACACCATGTTTATTGCGGCACTATTCACAATAGCCAAGTTATGGAAACAGCCAAGATGCCCCACACTGACGAATGGATTAAGAAAATGTGGTATCTATACACAATGGAATTTTATGCAGCCATGAAGAAGAACGAAATGTTATCATTCGCTGGTAAATGGATGGAATTGGAGAACATCATTCTGAGTGAGGTTAGCCTGGCCCAAAAGACCAAAAATCGTATGTTCTCCCTCATATGTGGACATTAGATCAAGGGCAAACACAACAAGGGGATTGGACTTTGAGCACATGATAAAAGCGAGAGCACACAAGGGAGGGGTGAGGATAGGTAAGACACCTAAAAAATAGCTAGCATTTGTTGCCCTTAACGCAGAGAAACTAAAGCAGATACCTTAAAGCAACTGAGGCCAATAGGAAAAGGGGACCAGGAACTAGAGAAAAGGTTAGATCAAAAAGAATTAACCTAGAAGGTAACACCCACGCACAGGAAATCAATGTGAGTCAATGCCCTGTATAGCTATCCTTATCTCAACCAGCAAAAACCCTTGTTCCTTCCTATTATTGCTTATACTCTCTCTACAACAAAATTAGAGATAAGGGCAAAATAGTTTCTGCTGGGTATTGAGGGGGGAGAGGGAGGGGGGAGTGGGTGGTAAGGGAGGGGGTGGGGGCAGGGGGGAGAAATGAACCAAGCCTTGTATGCACATATGAATAATAAAAGAAAAAGGGAAAAAAAAAAGAAAATGTGGTATCTATACACAATGGAATTTATGCAGCCATGAAGAAAACGAAATGTTATCATTCGCTGGTAAATGGATGGAATTGGAGAACATCATTCTGAGTGAGGTTAGCCTGGCCCAAAAGACCAAAAATCGTATGTTCTCCCTCATATGTGGACATTAGATCAAGGGCAAACACAGCAAGGGGATTGGACTATGAGCACATGATAAAAGCGAGAGCACACAAGGGAGGGGTGAGGATAGGTAAGACACCTAAAAAATTAGCTAGCATTTGTTGCCCTTAACGCAGAGAAACTAAAGCAGATACCTTAAAAGCAACTGAGGCCAATAGGAAAAGGGGAACAGGAACTAGAGAAAAGATTAGATCAAAAAGAATTAACCTAGAAGGTAACACACATGTACAGGAAATTAATGTGAGTCAACTCCCTGTATTGCTATCCTTACCTCAACCAGCAAAAACCCTTGTTCCTTCCTATTATTGCTTATACTCTCCCTTCAACAAAATTAGAGATAAGGGCAAAATAGTTTCTGCTGGGTATTGAGGGGGTAGGGAGGAGAGGGAGGGGACGAGGGTAAGGGAAGGGGTGAGGAAAGGGGGGAGAAATGACCCAAACATTTATGCAAATATGAATAAAAAAATATATAGCAACATAAGACCAGCAGCTTGGCTCAAGTGATAGAGAGCTTGCCTAGAAAGCACAAGGCCCTGAGCTCAAATCCCAGTACCAAAAAAAGAGCACTTTCATTTTAGCTGGGTAGAATGCTTGCCTAGCATGTGACAACACCCCAGGTTTCACCTCTAGCATCTGCAAAAATAAGTGAATAAATAAAACAGCTAAAAAATATTGCAATACAAATGCTGGCAGTGAGGTGGATGACACGGATTTCTCATAAATTGCTCGTGAAGATGTGAAATGGAAAGCTTCCCTCTGGTAAATAGTTTGACAGTTTCTTAAAAACAAACACTGCGAATTTGACCCTGCACTTGCAGATAGGAAGGACACGCACATCAAAACTGACCATAACGATCCGCAGCAGCTTTCTATGTAGGAGTCGAAGCCAGAAACTACCAGATGCTGCTGAATGGGCCACAGTGAGACCAAGTGGGGTACAGGGTGCTGTGGAAACCCCCAGCACATACACCTGCGCTGCTGGGACGCAGCCCCCAGCCTGGACGGGTCTCAAGGGCATTATGCTGGGTGGAGAAGCCTGTCTCAAGAGGCCCCATGGTGTGACTCCACTCACAGAACATCCCTGAAGTAACAAAATCACCGCATGGAAAAGCCATCAGGGTTGCCAGGAGTTAGGGATGGAGGGGAGCAGGTGGACAAGGCTGGAAAGGCACAGAGCAGCAGCCTTGTGGTGGCCGGCAGTTCTGTGTTTTCACTCTGCTGGTGGCTGCATGAATCCACGCGTGACATGACACACAGCAGCCCCCGCCACGCGCCAATGTCCTGGACTTGACATTGGCCAGCAGACGGGACCCCACGAACGCACATTATACTATTCTGTTCTGTGTTTGCAACTTTCTGTGAATTTATAATTATTTAAAATGAAAGGGTTTTTTTTAAACAGCCTAAACTTTTGAAAAAATGTATTACAGTTTCATTACTCATCAATACTTTAGAAAAGCATCTTATGAAGAACCTTGCGGTCAAGTTGCCTGTAATTCCAGCTATTTGGGAGACATAGCTAGGAGGACTAAGTCTAAGGTCAACCCAGGCAAAAAGCGTGAGACCCTCTCTGAAAGATTACTGAAGTGAAAATGCTGAGGGTGGCTTGAGTGGTAGAGCACCTGCCTAGCAAGTGCGAGGCCCTGAGTTCAAACCCCAGTACTGCCAGATAGGTGAGGGAGGGGGGAGACATGATGGGGAGGAGGAAAAGGAAGAAGGAGGAGAAGGAGGAAGAGGAGGAGGAAGAGGAGGAGGAAGAGGAGGAGGAGAGAGGTTGTCATCCTGGACAGGGGATAGGTAAGTCAGACCTAGGTGGCAGCTCAGAGGTTTCCTGAGAAGAAGAATGAAGAGCAGAGCACAGAGAAGGAAAAACACCTGCCACATGTTCACACAGACTAAAGCATTCTCTAAAATGGTCCGAAGAGGGCAGGTGGCCTATGGGATAGTGCCCAAGACTCACAAGAGGAAGTCCAAATGGCTGACCGAACACGAAAAGGTAATCTCAGTAGTAATCAAGGAGATGCAAATTAAAACCACAACAAGATATTATTCTCCACCACCAGATAAGAGTCTGATGATACCCAGTGTTGGCAGGGATGTGGAGTGGAAGGAAAGTGCCTATGCTGCTGGGAGGTGGGGGTAGCTGGGGTCCCACCATTTTGGAAGATGCTTTGGTCTGTCTATTCTGGGGTAAGACTCCTGTTCTCATGTCCCAGCAATTTCATTCCTAGGTTAAAAATCCACAAAACAGACACACATGTTTATGGTACTGAACTCGGTCAACACAACCTCCAGCTATTAACAGCAATAGCCCCAAACCAGAGACAACCCCAGTGTCCATCAACGTCAGAATGGACAAACTGACACCGTCCCTTAAGGGAAGAGTGGACAAATCCAAAGAGGAAGTGAACATGTGAGTGAATCTCAGGCCCAACGCCATGGTGTGATGACTTGGATCAAGTTCACAGGCAGCCAGATGAAACTGGTTACATAGCAAAACTACAGAAGGACGAGGAAGAACAGATGTGAAAATCCTGATGTGGTTCGTGGGAGGGAGGCCGGGACCCAGAGGGGGTCAGGTCGGGTTTCCTGAAGCTAATTTCGTCCCATCTCCTGACCTGGGTACGACTGGTTTAGTGTACGACTGGTCAACTTTCTATACAGCCCCCTGCATATCTCACAATGTAAAAAGGCTTTATGTGATTTTTAAAGGCATCTTTCAACAAGTCAGTGTGGCCTCGCTTTACATTCACTTTGCTGATATGCATACTCAAGTATTTTAACAACTTCCACACAGACACTCTCCTGCCTCCTGGCATTTGGGGTCACGGTTTTGCCCTCTTGCCAAGTCTAGGCTGCTGTCTCTCATCCTGTCCTCCATGGAGGCCACTCAGGTCGCCTCATCTATAAACTGTAAACTGAATATAAATGCCAACAGCTTTTACTTGGCAGGTTCTATGCCAGGATTAGAGAAAGGGTTGTTTCATGAGTTAATGGATGAAATCTGTCATTGAAACTTGTCACCGCATCTGGATTGGTTTTGAACACCTGTGTGGTTAAGAGCACTTCGGCCTCCTCCCGGCCCTCCACACCTTCCTCTGGTGCAGCTCTAACCCAAGCTGAGGCCACCACCAGCCAGAGGAGCACACTGCGTGAGCCAGAGCCATGCTCATTCCTCTCTGCCAGGGTCCTGTGTACACAGCCGACACACACATGCACACACACACATGTGTACACTTGTGTCACGCACTCACACTCAGACCACACACTCACACTCACACACCAACGCACATGCTCATATGCACTTGTTCACACTCTTACACACTTACAATGCTGTTGCACGCGTGTACACACACTTGTACATACACATTACACACTCACGTCACGCACTCACACACAGAACTCACTCATTTACACCCTCACACACACACCCTCACACACACTCACACTCACACACACCCACACACACCCTCACACACTCACACACTCACATTCACACACACTCACACCCTCACACACCCACACACACCCTCACACACTCACACACTCACACTCACACACACCCTCACACACTCACATTCACACACACTCACACTCACGCACACTCACACCCTCACACACCCACACTCACACTCACACACGCGGCGCACACACACACACTCACACACACACACACACTCACACTCACACTCATCCAAGGCTGCTACACACTTAAACTGCCATTTTTCTAGAGTTCTGGGACGTGTTTTGTCATGGTCCGGCTTTCTCCACCACAGCACTGGCGACACTTGGGCTGCATCATTCTGGACTGGGGACCACCTTGTGCATCGCAGGAGTCTAGCAGCATCCCCGGCCTCCACTCACCTGATGCCAACAGCCCCTCCCCCACAAAGTCATGATCGCCTCTGCCTCCCCCATGTTGGGATTACAGGCACGTACCACCATACTTGGCCTGACCTTGTTTCCATAATTTCCCTCTTTTTCCTTCTACCGTAGAACACCTTGTCCTGCAAAAGCTCATAGCTAATACTGTTATGCTGGCCTTACGCTGCTTGAATATGTACAGGAACTTCTTTCTGCTCCATTTGACCACAGAGAGCCAGAGTACAAGGAAGAAGAGCAGGAACAACACTGCTGCTGACATCAGTGCCACAAAGAAGGTGAGGATCTGCGGAGAGTGTCCTGTACCAAAGAGCAGAGGAGACAGTGGCAGGAATGTTTTTATGTTTACACTGCAAACTTCCAAGCCCCGAAAGCCATGCCTGGGGAGCCTCTTAGAGCACCTGCCTAGCAAGTGTGAGGCCCCGAGTTCAAACCCCAGTACTGCCAAAAACCAAAATCCAATTTTCTTAGACCTAGCAGCATGGCCTTTCCAGTGTAAAGAAAATATGGGCCTCATCATCCACTTTTTGGCGTTCATCAAAGCACAGAACTTGTTTGGGGTGACTCTCATCACACAGTGCTCACTAGTGCTCATCTCAGACTAGATCACAAAGGCTGGACACCTTGCCTTTCTTCCTTCCTTCATTCTTTCCTTCCTTCCTTCCTTCCTTCCTTCCTTCCTTCCTTCCTTCCTTCCTTTCCTCCCCTCCTCCCTCCCTTCTTTCTTTCTTTCTTTTTTTCTCACTGAGGCAGGATCTCACCATATAGCCCAGGCTGACCTTAAACTGGAGATCATCCCACCTTCACTTCCTGAGAGCTGGGATTATAGGCAAGAACCACCATACCCAGGCTTCACTTGATTTAACAGCAATAAACCAATTACTTGGCTCTCTCTCAGGGGCAGGCATGGGAGTAGGGGAGGTACCTGGAGAGAAGGAGGCCAAATGTGGTCCACAGAGCACATCATTCTCCTTTGTCCCATTCCTAAGTACAGACTTTCCATCCCAAGAACAGCTTCGACAGTTCAAAGAAAAGAAAAGTTCAAGTAATTAATTCAGGTACAGAGGATCCCAAAGACAAACTTTGACATCTGCCACCCAATGAAACAGCCTAGTGACAGATAGGTGGATCCACAGGCAGCGGCAGAGACAGTGGAGAAGCTCCCATTGACTGGCTTCCTTCAGCTTTCACCGTGTGAGGCTGCACCCACTTCCCAAGCTGAGCTCTTCTTTCTCCCCAGGCTGGGGCACGCAGGCTGGTCTTGTTCCATGCCCCAGAGGCCCAGTGTGCATTGCCTGGGTGGTCCCTCGCCATCTCCACCTTCCTCACATTGATCATCTCTGGCATGGGTAAGGATAAGATGGGGGTGGGGCTCCAGCACTGCTGCCAGACAAAGCAGGAGGAGCCCTGGGTCTGCCATGTCACAGAGTGACCCGTGCCAGGCTATGGCAGCTGTCCAAACCTCAGGGTTCTCAAATGGGAATTAGCCCCTATGCTCCAGCACTGTGGGGGAAAGCAAATGAAGGAGCCTCTGTGACACAATTCTGCATGCCTAGTGCACTCAAAAAATGGTGGCTATGGTCACCACTGTAACCCCGCCACCATCATCGCTGTTGCTGGCATGCTGTTTGCCTTTCTCCAGAGCCCTCTTCACACCACTTTTCTGTGCAGACTCACTGGAACACTCTGATCAATTTGTGTTGAAAGACCTTTTAAAAAAAGACATTCTAGAGCTGGGTGCAGTGGCTCACACCTGTAATCCTAGCTACTCAGGAGGCGGAGATCAGGAGGATCAGGTTCCAGGCCAGCCCAGGCAAAAAGTTGTCAAGACCTCATCTCAAGTAATGACTGGGCACAGTGGCACACATCTGTCATCCCAATAGGAGGGTCGTGGTCCAGGCCAGCCCAGGCACCAAGGGAGACCATATTTCAAAAATAACCAGTGCAAAAGCTGACAAAAAAATTAAAAAATAAAAAAGGGACATTCTAAGACTGGGGCATGACTCAACAGGTAGAGTGTTTGTCTCGCAAACATGAGGCTCTGAGTTCAAATCCCAGTACCACCAAAAAAAAAAAACCAAACCAAAACACACAACAAAAATCTAGTACTGACAAAAGGCAAATGGAAAAAGGACAAAGATGTACAAAATGTGAGGCCAGATTTTCAGATTGTCATTCTCAGAGTTGACAGACCTCATTACTCTGTTGGCATCTCTTAAGTGCAGGCTCCCCTGCCTGGCCCGTGTTATCTGGACTCCAAGCCCCATGTGGACCAGTGCCTGTCCACAGAGCACTGTCTGAATAACCCTGGTTCTGATCTCACAAGCCACAGTCACCTTTTGCCCTATGCTGTTTGACGTCACCCCTCCCAGGTGGCCCACGCACACCAGTGCCCCTGACATTCTGAGGAAGGAGAATTGTCTGTCCTCTCTCACTCTCAGTTCGGGCACTGGATACTTGAGACGGCCAGTCCACGGGGGAATTCAAAAGAAGCAGAGAGCAGACAAGCTGAGGAGGACGGTGACAAAGTTCCTGGGGTAACCTGGGCTCCAGGTCCCAGGCAGGATTTCTGGAGAAAATGCCCACTTTTCATATGAAGTCGCTGTGACCTCACAGCGTTCCCATGCTGCCTGTAAGTCTGTCACTATGGTCTAGACTCAGTACCGGGTCAAAACACCTCAGTCACTTCAAACAGTTTCCTGCAGATTCTCCATTTCAGAAAAGCAAAATGAAATTATACATACTTTGTCCAGTGTCGACAGGTGCCACCTTCCTGGTCATTAAACATCCCAGGGCCACAGTCTTTACAACCTTGAAGTTAAAGCGACAATGAAAGGAGACATTTCATCCTGTCATAACATTCCCTGTTCTGAGCCTAGCATTCATTAGCTTAATATAATCTGTGCGAGTCGCTTAACTATTCTTGCAAGGAAACCCTAAGGTTGCTGGCTTCACGCCGATGGCACCTAGAGAGCTGTAGATGTCTAAAATGTGTGAAAAGGCATGGTTCTGGTGGTTAACCAATGTCCTGATTTCACATTATTTCCACTGATGGAAATAATTAATTTAATTCATTAATTGATTTAATTCATTAATTAAGATATATTATTAGTTAAAACATGCTAACAGTATTGCAAACTTGGCCGGTCGGTTCACTGCTTGTTCTTCGAAGGTCCTGTGCTTTCTTGGACATATCTACATCACAAACCCAGGCTGGATGGAGGAACAGCAAACCTACCGTCTTTGGTTAATTCTTGACCTTGCTTACAGTCCGGTTCGCACTTGGTGCATTCTGACCCCAGGCAGTGGAACCCTGATATGCACTCACACTCTGCATCATGGGTTGGGGAGCAGGCCTTCTTGATCCTGAAATGACCTGCAAAGCCCCAGTGTTATGTTACACTTGACCTCCACACCCAGGAAGCAAACATGCTCTTGTGGTAAAAATCGTGCCCACTCTACTTATGATGGTCTTTCTTCTTCTTTTTTTTTCTCTTGGTACTGAGATTTGAACTCAGGGCCTTGCACTTGCTAGGCAGGCGCTCTACTGCTTGAACCACTCCCTCAGCCCTTTTTGCACTGGTTATCTTTGAGACAGAGCCTTGCTTTATGTTCAGGCCAAACTGGATGTGATCCCCACATAGCAGGGATGACAGGCTCATGCCACCACACCCAGAGATTGGTTGAGACGGGGGTCTTAAGAACTTTTTGCTTTGTCTAGCCTCAAACCTTGGTCCTCCCAATTCTACCTCTATAACGTTCTTGGTAACTTTAGTGTGTAATGTTTACTTTTTTTTTTGAGACTGTATGTATCTTGCTATGTAGCCCAGACTGGCCTTGAAGTCAAGATCTTCCTGCCTCAGGTTCCCAGGTGCTGGGATGAGATTACAGGTGTGTACCACTATACTTGTCTTGTAATGTTTACTTTTTAAATCTCCATAAGGACATTTTTACACTCTGCTAATGAAAAAACTTTTCTCTTAGAGGCATTTCCTCTAAAATTTAAAAAGCTCAGCAACAACAAAAAATAATTGCTAGTACATAAAATAACGTCCCTAGACCTACCGGTTGACAGAGGAATCAGTGTCTTTGGTCCAAAGATAGTCAATAGAGATCAGTTAGCTAATGGGGAGTAACAGCTTCGGATAAAGGGACAGTCTCCACTCATACCTTCGCATCTTGTGCATATGTTGCAGGCCCTTTGTCCGCCTGAGCTGGAGTAGCTGCTTGGAGGACAGGGGCTGCAGAGATGGCTCTTGTCTGTCCCACAGAAAGTACCTGAGAGGCAGAAGGCAGGTGTATGCGTTCAACAAACACAATCATTATATGAAGAACTGTGAAGTTTATAAAAGAATGAGAACACAAAAGCATGAACACAAAATCCATTTGTAAGATGACCTTCAGCATAATCCAAGAAGTAGAAACGCCAAAATACCAATACTGTAACAAAGAAATCTAGAGAAGGAAAAATCTTTATCTACCCAATAAGACAGTGATTTCTCCTGGTTGATTCAGATCAATAGAACTGAGCTAGTAGACCAGACGTCCTTCACTGGCATATGAAAAGTGGAATGCAACTGACTTTCCCTCTGTGTCTCTGTCAAGCCAGCTGCCACCTGCTTACTCCCTACTGTGCCCCAGGCTGAGCCCAGGGCCTCACACACAAAATTGACATTTACTGAGGTCTTTCCATGTGCCATGTACTATTCCAAGCCTGTCATGAGACCCTTCCCACCAAGACGGCCTCTCTTATTTTCCCCAGATGAAAAAAGTTAGGACCGGAGGTTAATGGCTGGCTGTGTTCACACAGCTAGTTTGTAGCATCTCATAAACATTTGCAAGTGAATGAATCCAAAGTCATCAACAGGGAGCCAGCCCTGACCACTAGGCTAGCTGAGTCCCAACCTCAACAGGACAGATCATGTCTGTCTTAATTTGCTACTCACCAGCCTCACAGTGGCCACAGGATGCCCTCATGGAACCGGTCCTCTCAAGATTCATGACCAGCAGTACAGCTGTTACAACACTGTAATAGCCTCTTCCCATGATGAAACCTTGCATAGATACGGTATTAGAAAAGGAGAGTCCAAAGAATCCTAATCAAACGAGCTGATCTCACAAATGTCACTCTGCAAAATGTCAACATTTCCCAGGATGGCTGTGTTCCTCCTTCCAGAATGCTCTACATTCCAACCATTACTTTAAACAATTCCAAAGGACCATAACTCAGGGGTTTTAAGGAAAAATAATAGTGGAATTTTATGGAAAAGTAGCAAATTCATAGAAACTTCTACAGCAAGACAAGCACTTTTAAAGGCACAGTTTTGTGTGTGTTCGCCAAAGGCCAAGAGTGAAATTGCCAACATGCTCTGTACAAATGCAGAAATAACAGCAGCAAGAACTTCTGGGGACTTTCTGGCGTCCAGCAGGCTGGTTTAGTGAAAGGATGTCACTATTGTCCCGTCTTTGGTTGAACATCTAATTGCTAGCATTTGGAGAGTCCTCTCTGCTCAATTCTTAAATAGAATAGATGTGGACTTGCCTATTTTGAGATCTGAGCTTGTAAAGTAACAAAACCAGGGAGTAAAAAACATTTCATCATTCTTGGTCATTCTGTAGTGAGTTGTTGGCTAGAAGACATTAGCAATTAGAATTAAAGAACGTCTAGAATATGCCATGAGAACAAAGCATACCCTTACCCTCTCTCAGGTCCCCCATCGGCTCCAAGTAGACAAACCTCCAGCTCTTGGGACAGCTAAGCAAGTTCCCTCCTCAGTGGCCCAGAGACATTTGCCAGCTCTGCTCAGAGGCCACAGATCAAACACATGCACCGTGACTCAACCAGGCGGGGCCTCCTGGGAAATCCCCACCACAACTGTGTAAGGTAGTTCACTTACTGGGTGACCTCAAAATCCCCAGAGGCCCAGTCCCCTCTTCATTATGGCACTTTAGTTTCTTGGAAGCACCTATGTTTCCCAGAGGATTCAGGAAAAAGGATTTGGTTGATTTAACATGGTTCTCCATGTCAAAGCTTTCAGTGGGTCCTTAAAGCATTTGAGATTTGAGGAAAGAAACCTCCTTCTAAATAATGATCTGTTTGTGCCACACAGTATCCCCTAAGTCCACAAGAAGGACAAAGACACTGTTACAATTATTATTATTACCATTATTACTGACTTGTTATCAAGCATAGCAGATGCACCGGGCACCAATAGCAGGCATGATCCTTGATCCTCCTAGGGACCCCAGGGCTGAGTCTTTTTGCTGTTGTTACTGTGGTGACACTATGCAAATGAGACAGCTATCAGCAGGACAGGGAGCCAGGATGGAGCCCAGAACAGCTGGGCTGCCTTTTGTGTGTCTTCTGTGTGAGTGAGGTTGGGGAAGAAGGAAGAAGTGGAAACATGGAGACAAAGGAATTGCAGTTGTCATGGGCAATAGTGACTTTTCAGGCAAAGTGGAGATCCACAAGCAACTTCTAGAAAACCACGGCTTTATTTATTTATTTATTTTTAAGAAAGGAAGAAAATAAGAGAAGGAAGAAATGGACAGGAAGGAGGAGGAGTAGGAGGAAGAAAGAGGAGGACAGTAGGATGAAGAGGAGGAGGGGAAGGGTCGCTCTGGAGACAGTAAGATGAACTTGACCAGCACTGAGTGGCCAGAGACCCTTAGGAAGATGAGCAGGAGAATGGCGGCCAGAGCTGGGGAAGGGGCAGGACGAGGGGAGGAGGGGAGGAGCGGAGGAGGGAAGGAGGGGAGGAGGGGAGGAGGGCTGTGTCATAGATTAGTTTTCCTTTAGGATTCAGGCAGAAAAGAAGTATTTTTCCGCAGGAGGCCTTGAGTTGGGGGATGAAGGGAAGGGAGAAGGGAGTAGATTTTTATTAAATACTTCCCACGTGCTTCACACAGTTACTCATCTCCAATCAGATCCCTGTTCCTCTTAGGAACTTTCGGTGGCTCCCTACTACCCACAAATAAAACCAGCACTAAAGGACCTCTTTAGTCCACCCAATGGGTGCCTTGTTTAAAAATTAAGATAAGAGCTCACATAACATAAAGTTTACCATTATAAAGTATACACGGTTCAGTGAGGGGTTAGTATATTCACTGTGCTGTGCAAGCCCCACCACTACCTAATTTCAGAACATTTCCATCAGTCAAAAAAGAAATCCCATACCACCTAGGATTTCAGAGATATCATTCCCATCCCCCTCCCCCAGTCCCTGGCACTACTAACCTACTTTTTATCGCTATGATTTTGTCTATTTTGGACATTGCATATAAATTCAAGCACATAAAATATAGTCATCTATGACTGGCTTCTTTCACTTTGTGTAATGTTTTCAGCGTTTGTTGTTCATTTTTAGCATACATCAGAACTCCGTTCCTTTTCGTGGCTGAATAATATTCCACCCTGTGCTCATATCACTTTTGTTTATCCATTTATCAGTTCATGGCACGTGGGTTATTTCTGCTTTGGGGCTCTTACAGATGGGGCTGCTATGAACACTCACTGTGGGTTTTGGCACATACTGTTTTCAGTTCTTTTGGGTGGACCCATAGGAGTGGAACTGCTGTGCCAAATGGCAGTCACCTTTCACTTTTGAGAAGTTGCAGAGCTTTCCACAGTGGCTGCACCACTTCACTTCCCACTCCCACCAGCAGCAAGTGAGGATTTCAGTTTTTCGGCGTCCCCATGAACACTCATAATTTTCCCATCAAAAAAGTTCTAGCCATCCTGGTGAGTGTGAAGTGGCATCTCTGCAATTTTGACTTGCTCTCCTCATCACCATCTGTCCCTCACCCACACTCGTGTACACATGCACACACGCGCACGTGTTTGCAGTGGAGCAGCGGAGTGTGGCAGTGGTTGAAAGCTCACACTTTGCTGTCGTGCTTGGTGGAAGTGAGGCTCTGTCATTTATGGTTGGGTCACCTTGGACAGATTCCATAACCTCCTTGAGTCCCAGCTTTTCCAACTGTGCTTTCATCCTGCTCATTGGTGAGGATTCAGTGAAACAGAGAGCATCATGTAAGCTCAACAGCTGGTACGTATTCCCAAGAAATCACTATTACGTGACAGCTTTGAAATGTTCTGTCCCCAGCTTCCCACACTGACCGTCAATAAAGCAACCACAGGACAAATGGCAACAGAGAAGGAGGGAGAAAAAAAGCACAGGCTGTCTACAAAATGTCTTCCCAGATTCTGAGAGCAGAGAGACCTGTGATATTTGTGGATCACCCTGCCCTGATACTGGCAGAATCAGCTGAATGTAAGAGCGTTACACCATTAAAAAAAGTCACCTCCTAACCAAGCCCCTCCTCATTTACATGTGTCCGTATGTGCACTGTGTTTAATGCTGCCGCGTGACCTTTAACTGGGCTGTACTCTCATTTAACTAAGTGCTACCTACTCATCTACGTTCTGGGTGGTCTGTGGGCAGAGCAGTCGCCTCCCCTGAAGTGACGTGGCTTCTTTTCCAGTACAGTGATTAGCTCACTGTCTCAGGCTTCTGTGCCAGTGACACAGTCTTTACTGAGCTCAAAGATTCTTGAGATTAGTTTGTCATCCTACAGTTAAACCAAAGCAACCACTTCAGCGGAAGGCACCACCCGACTTTCTTCATGTGTGTTATTTTCATTTGCTTAACCATGTGTCACATCACTTTAGTCCTTTTAGTCTTCCAATCTCCCAGATGCAATTTACAGATTACAAAGCCTTCCCAAATTAAGTCAGTGATGAGTCCAGAAAAATCAACACTTTCTAAATGTCTCATTTTAAGCCATGGAATACTTTTTGTTTTATTTTGATTGATTATAGACGTAACAGTGAAATCTCCAGTGGGTGCAACTTTCAGTGCAACACTGCAACAGCATGAAGTCTCATCTGCAGGAGAAAAAGAAAAATAGTCCCCCTCAAAGCACATAAAATATGCTTCCTATAAAATCCAATAAAGTGTGCTTCTGACCTCCTGGCGCACATATTAGAGGCAAAGTTAATCCATGGAAAAGCCACACTCTACACTTGTGACCCTCCTGGAAGATCTATTCTTCCAACATTCTACCCCAAGCATCTGTCCAGTCAAGGTAATAGTCACTATTGGAAATATATGGTGCTCTGAGGCTGAAAAGGAGAAAATCAAACAGAACTTGCAAAAAGAAAAATGAGCGGAAAAGTGGAGAAGGGGGAGGGAGAGAATGATGTGACATTGTCAGGAAAGGTGGAGTGGTAGCATTTGTCAAATTCTCTGGCTGTTCCTCCTCATTCTGCACTTCCCTGTGTCACGTCCACTGATATGTGCATGGCTTATAAGTATTGACTTCCAACTTCTGACCAGCTTCGGTGTCCATCACTGTGCAACGGCCAGGACAGAGTGTCAGTGAAGACCTGTGGGGCATGAAGATATCTGGAAGTTACAAAACAAGCGAAATACACAGCTAAGGAAAATATGTGCTATCCAGCACAGGGCTCCAGAATCTCACACACACACACACACTATGCACACAGCACTTAGGTATATCTGTGACTGGGGACCTGGCAGATGATGGTGACAGGACATTCCCTTCTAAATATGACACCATCTGTGCTTGGGAGGCTCAAACAGCTGGGCCACCAACAAATACATCAACAACTTGCTCAGGAACCCTTAGATGACGTGAGCAGAACTGGGCAGAGGGAAAGCAGTTTCCCATGGTACCATCCTGCCATAGTTAGGGAGGGAGAAGCCAAGGATGGAACCCAGGACTTCTCATTCCAAAGCGACCTAACGTGGGAGCAAGAGTGATGACTACTAGCTCATGAGCTGCTTGTAATGTTTCATTCCTATGAATGAGAGAAAAAAAAAAAACCAGCAAGTGTTGACTCAGCAGCCAAAAATGAAATTGCAAATTCAGAGGCTTGAGCGCCGAGTCAGAAACCACAGTAGACCTCACTTACATGAATGACTACCAAGAAACGGAGGGATAACTTTAACCTTGAGAAATACAATGAAAAGCAGGATTGATTTTGGAGGGAGCCAGACTAACTGGAAACGATCCTTTTGGCTAGAGGGTGAAGCTCAGTGGTAAAGCATGTGCTTAGCAAGGACCTGGGTAGAAAGCTCAGCACCAAAACTATTCAATAGACAAACATTCTGTATTTTAAATTAAAATAGAGATCGTTGCCAAATGTCACTAAGAGGAAAAATATTCTTTGGGCTGTGAGAGTTGTGATCAAAGAAGGATCAGCTGGGTGTGGTGGTACATTCCTATAATCTCAGCACTTGGGAGGCAGAGGCAGGAGGATCATGAGTTTGAGACCAACCTGGTTACATGGTGAGACCCTGTTTCAAAAAAAAAAAGTATCACCCCAAAAGCAACATTATCCTGAAGTCCCAGGCTTTGTGCTGAAGGCTGTGGACTGCTGGTTCTCCATCCTCCCATCTTCCATGGTCCCAGGGAAGGGAAATACTACCCAAATTAATTTCAACTTCTGTCAACTAAACGTTCAAAGATTTTTTTCCTTCAAATGAAAAGTAAGAAAACACCAGAAGACAAATTTTGTTTCCTCCTGATCTTTTTAATGGTGATATATTATCTACCAAATAATTCTACTCACAAGTCATCTTACTTCTTCCCCCCAAGTCTCTCCTGCTCTGAGTTCCTATTATGATGGGAAGATTATTGTATAAACCATCAGTTCTCATTAATGTTTAAATTTTTATATATTACATTATATATACAATATATTTTCTAGAGGGTCAAGCATTTCCAAGATTCACATTAGCATC